TTTTATTTTTGTCACTCTCCGAATGTCAAGTAGGACAACGCTTGTGTCATCAAATGGAAAGCATCCAGAGAGTTTTAAAAACATAGAATATTAACAAAAATGTTATTGAGACTTTTTTTTTATCATTTATTATTATCATAATTCTAATCGGTGAAGTTTGTGACATGCATGAAAAATACAGCGAGGTCCATTGTTTAAAAATAACTAATGTAGATAACGTGTACACTTGAATATTGGGATACAATAAACTGTCATGGTTCCTACAAAAATTCCAATTGCATTCTTATACAATCTTTACCGGGAATGTTATACTTACATATAATCTTCTCGTCCTTCTCGTTTCTAAATTCTAATATAACTTCGACGTTTACCTAAAAAAGAAATAAGAATTAATTTACCAAAATAAATACATCCAGCACACCCGATGGAGGGCTTATATGCTTGTTTGCGCGACGGTGAGCTTGACTTTAACGGTTTCAGTCTTCAGCGCTAGATTATCAATCGCAACTGATTATCAACCGGAACTCCGTTATCGAATTTTGACATGAGCATAAATTATTGTATTTGATGATATCGAAAGGGTTGAAATCCCAGAGTCTTACCAACAATAGTACTCATTGTCAGAAGATACTGGGTGTCAGTCATTTTTTATAGCCGTGTTACGCGTGGGTGTTATCGCGAATGATCGGAAGAGAAAATTGATGTTTGATTGCCGTTGTTATTGGTTTGACGACGATGTACGACAAGAACAACTGAGAAAATGTGAACGTATGTCGACATTCGACGTTATCTGTCTGACTCGACTCGGTGTTCAGTGTCGTCAGTTCGACCCGGTCAGTGTGCCATTCAGATTTCAGCATGAACACCGAGCGCAGTAAGTTATATTTTTATATGCTAGTCTATGTATCTACCTGACTTTTTTTTCCGGTGAATCTTATATACGTATATAACTCGGTGATGTTCTTGTAGTCTGATATTTTAAAGTTAAAATCAAAAAAAGTTTCAGCAATTTTTAATACTAACAGACATAACAATCATGGAAAAATGATATAATAATGTAAACTTAACCGTAAAATTACAGATTAATTTTTTAATTTTTAATAATAAAAAAAAAATAATGTCTTTTTTTTCAATTACATTTTTTATACCTTTCATATTCAGAAATAAAACAAATATTTAGCAAAATAAATCTAACAGAAAAAGATAAAAAAGAAGCACAATGGAAAAAAAGCACAGTTGAAAATTGTGTAAAATAGTAAACTAATAGGTAAATCCTACTTTGTTGCTAAAATTTATATTTTGTATTTATTTAATTAGCATAATTATTTTAAATACTAAAATATTAATTTTATTATTGTTTTTGTTAATAATAATAAAAGCATTATTTGTATATGATGAGTAAATTATTAGTATTGCGCAAAAAATTTTATTATGTTATAATATTAAAAATTATGTA